GCAAGGACCCAATTTTGGTGGCCCACTGTGCCAATTCTGCTTCTTTCTCAGCAGGCTAGTCATTTGCAAATTAGTAGTACTACGCATAAAATAACAATTGAACTTTCGTTAATTGAGGCATTGGGAACGTTAATTTAACATCATTCCGAATGTTACCCCCAGCATAGGCTGCCTAGAAATGAGTACTGTGTTTTTTGCTTCAATTGAACATCCTGAATGCTTTGCTTAACAGTCTGAATATTAGCAGGGGAGGCGTCCTCCTCTTCTTCCTCTTTTTTAGATCCCTTCTTCTTCCTTTTTAGGCATGTGCAACACTGTTTTGCTACCAATTGAAGAATGTGGATAATACTAGGATCTACGTAGGCCTACACGATAAATTTAACATTCTGAACGTGAAATTAACATTCAGAATGTTAAGAAATTAACGTTCCCAATGCCTCAATTGACGAAAGTTCAATTGTTATTTTATGCGTAGTATGTTGAAAATAGGGGAGCAAAACTATGCAGAGCTCTGTGGTAGAATTTCTTGTTGTAGTGAAGAAATCAAAGTTGCAAACATTTAATTAGTAGTAGTGTTGGTGGTGGGCTGGGAACAGCTGGCACAACAAAATTAATGTTGGGAACTGCCTCCTTGATTAGTGTGGGATCATATTACTTGTACACAGCAGCTGTTGATTTTGGCCAAAATGTCATTTTACATGATCGATTWAAAATAGTAATTAAACAATCTGGCTGATTGTCTAATAATAAGGATTTGGATTACAAAATTTCATTCACATGTGAATAAAGAGCAATTTTCTTTTGTTTTGACTACTTTGATTTAATCATAGAATTTCATTTGGAGTGAAGATAGATTGAATTTTGTGTCTTGACTAGTTAGAATACGTTTTTGACTAGTTTGAATAAGAATAAGATTAACCTGAACTCTAAATTAACGCCAAAACTGCTCTAAAATGAGACCGTGAATAGCTGTGCGTAGTCCTACTACGTACAGTGCTTCTACGGCACACGAAACTTCTACTGTACCAGTACACTACTGCAGATCCAATATTCGCCAATCACTTCATAAAAAATATACATTGATGATGACATATATTCGACTCCGCGCAAACTGAGCTTCTCGCTGAACCAAACCAAACACAATTTCAATCTCTTCCGCTCTTTTTCCAATAAGTAAGTGAACACCGCACTGAATCACACATGGATGCGAACCAACGAACTCAATTGTACTACCGCTAAGCTCATCGGTTGACGCGTGATTTGCGATTTTGTTACGAAGCTGTGAAACAGTCGTCTAGTCAGTTGAAGACGTATCGTAATTGCTGGTACATGCGTACATATCTACACTTGCCGCGTCGTTCGAGCGAGCGAATAAAGAAAGAACTTATTGTCGTTCCACCATTGATCGAACCTCCGTAATAATTTTGGCAGTCACCTATCATCGTGCCCTATAACTGTACTGTACCTGTGCCAAACGCCGGTAGTGAGCTAATGAAACATMTGATAATCTTGAAAACACTTTTACGCTGTTGGCTGTTCACTGAGTTGACTCACGGCCAATAGTACCAAGTAGTCACACACGCACACATCAAGCGAACCATCGAGAGGAATAAGTACTTACGATCGATTGGTCAGCTGCAGAAAAACTATTCATAGCAAACAAGATAACAAAGTCACGACCACAGAGTACACCATTTCGACAATTTATTTGATTCAATTCTTCACACCATGCCATCACTGAAACAATTGTTCGGGAGCCCCCTGGGGAAAAGTAAACACAAGAAAAAACCCAACAAGGACCGTTACAATGGGATGGATATTCTTATTAATGACCACAAGAAGAAATATACAACAACACCAAAGTTTCTTGCAACAGAAAACTCTGAAGTCACTGTCAGTTTGTTCAAAGAAGAAGAGGAAACCGAGCGGCGAGGGACCTTAATCGAGAGTACTGCTTGCCATAGTGAAGAAGTTCGGGATGAGGAGATAACAATCGATTTCAGAAACTACAAGGATTGTGTGGGTGACGCCGAGCTCAAGAAAAGTGGAATGAAAACAAAGGCAACAACTAAGGAGATACAAGATCACCTTCACGAGGAATCAGAAAAGGACGAAACAATTTACTTCGAACAAAGAGATCATTATGACAACAGAGATTGTGGTGATGATGAAGATTTTCGAACTGCAGCAATGCCATCAAAGTCGAAGGAAAGTCCGACTACAAAGAATTTTTGGGCGGACAAAGAATTGCACCTGCCGAATTGTAAAGACATCMATTGCGAGAATGCTGACATWTGGTGCGACAACGACGACAACTTTCGAATAATCGTTGTGCCAGCAACGGCTTCACTATCCAAGCCTGAAGAGGAACAAGAAAAGAGAGAAAAGGCAAAGAAACACGAAAGCCTTGCAGAATCGCATCACAGGGAACAGCAACAGCAAAATGAATTTTCAATGGATGAAGATGGAATTGAGTACGACAAAGTTGACGACTTTCGAACGACTATCATGCCAACACCAAGAATATCATCATTCGCTCGAGAGGAGAAAGAGAAGAGTTCGAGTGCAAAAGAAAGCGAGAGCAATAAAGAAATTTATGTCCCTCAACAGCAACAGCAACTTCAACATGAATTATTGGTGCACCAAAATGATGATTTCCAAACTACTGTGCCAGATTTGCAAGGGATGGGAGAAAGTGAACCACGATCGAAAGAATCCGGAAACTTGAAACGTGTCGCCAGAGACGACAATCGTTATCAAGTATCACCCGTAAACTCTGTCGAATTTGAGAACCATATACATACAACCCTCAACGCGAACGAAGGTGCTACAAACAGCAGAAGCAGCAGGAAAGAATACTCCAACAAAAATGATAAAACCAGTAGTGCTATCTATCCCATTCCATCCCACCTCAATACTACCGGATACCATCTTGATCTGGACGATGGTGACGACGAGAAGGAGAACCTTATCGACGACTTTGACGATTACCAGTCGACCATTTCGGCATTGACTGAAGCTACAAATTATTATAATTCAAAGTCAATCAATCAAAACTACACTTCCTCGAAAACCTTCGTGATTGTTCCTCCTCCTTCCTCGCCGGCAAACCACAGCTGCCAGACTTCATCTACTTCAAAAAGTAGCAGCAGACATCTGGAAGACTTTCTCAAGACGGAAACTGAAAGCCTTCGGAAGTTGCTCGCGACTGTCGAAAGTGGAGATGACGAAAGTACGGTCGTGGAAGAATCTGTCCGAGGGGCGAACGAAGCCGAGCGAATGGCGAAAGAAATGGAACGAGAAACACAACTACTACTTATCGGTGACCATCATGGCGACAATGAATCGATGGTAGAAGAAGAAGCATGTTGCGAAGGCCATTCCTCTTCATTGAAGAACGACGAGATGGTGCAGGTAGTGCGACCTACTAGCATGGAATCTTCGTCTTCGTATCATTATTATCGCAACCTTTCGCCCGAATCCAACGAATTTCTTGCCGATATTCGCTCAGTGATGCATCCGGTGGGTTGTGGCGAATCCAATAAAGGCAAAAACAGCAATACTCCTTTGAGTAACGAGCAGCGCCTGGAAAACAGCACCGATGGCCGAACGTCGTCCCCCACTGGTACAGTCACACCACAGTCGTTGTCGTGTTCACGAGATCTATTCCGAAAACGATCGAATTTATACCAAGTCAAGTCTTCTGAGAAATGCTATAGCAACAGTTCGGCAAACCGAGTCGCGAAACAAAACCGACGACGTCGGCAACGACGAGTCCTTCGAAAGAGGATTCGCACCGTAGGTTCCACCATTGTTCTAATACTTCTTTGTACTTGGACTACTTTACTCGGGCATTGGCAATGGAACTACCCGCAAGAACACTTTGGGACAGTTCTCCAGAACACGGCGTCTCGGATCCAACACCAGGGCGTTGTAGTTTTAAACGATGTCAAGCATACACGGGAGAAGGCTGTGGCACTCTTGGCAACTACGACAAAAGTGACTCGTTCCTACATTCGAGACGTCTTGCCACCGCTGGCCGACGATACCAAAGTCCTTGTCGCGCAAACTATTGGCAACGGGGTATCCTTTCTCGCAGATCAAGCCTTTGCGTGTATACCACTCGCACGCAGAGCGAAGACATCTGCGCTGGAAAGCATTCGCGACACGACGTCTCTTTTTGCAACCCAAGCCCCGTCGATAGCAAGGTGGGTYAAGACCCGTACGATGAATGGCCTTCGTATTACCTTCGCCTTTTTCTCCGACCAACTGAAGCATTACGATTACAGTAATGGTGTTATTCTCCCGTACCTAAAAGATCGATGGGAGTACGCATTTACAGATCGTGCCGAACAAGAGCAACGGATTCGGGAGGAGGAAAAACTCAAAGAATTGCTGGCTGCTGCGGCGGCAGCCGCCGCCAAAGAAGCCGCCGAGCACCAACAAATGCTGTGGACACAAACTATGGTGGCGGGTGCCTGTGCCTTCGCCGGATCCGTTGCGACGACAATCCTTTGGTCGGTCTTGTAAAAAGTTGGAATGACCTTGGTTTGTCTCCGGGCGAGTATTCCACATTCAAAACACCGTCTCAAACGACCGAAGGAGAATTTCAAAAACGCTCGACATCCTCTAGATAGCTAAAGATGGAATTGCCTTCCAAACATATCATAGTGCCCTGGTTAGGGTAGAACCAATTATTTCGAGTAACCAAGAAAACAACCGAGGTCAGGATCGATCTTTAGTTGTCAGCATCTCATAATATCATTAGCGCTAAATGCCAAGAGAATATAAATCTTATCCCCACGAGATCATTTAAAAATAAAATTATTTCAGCTTGAGAGTGATAGCAGAGCAGACACTAAAGAAAGCCATAGTACAACGAGCGAAGTCCCACAGGGAATCATTAACAGATGGAAGGAAAACTTCGAAACAAMAATCCTGCATCATTATGTTTTGCAGGCCTCCAAGAGCTTGGTAGCGCACCTGCCGTATTTCGTCACKGTCTCGCGAYTACAATCGATCTGAAACAATCGTTTCCARGGCCAGGTCGCTGGCGTTGATCCCCTCRATCGAGGAAGACCTCGTCACCGTGAAACGACCCTCGTAGCGGCTGTTTTGTATTGCGTCACCCATGGTAGCCGACGATACATCCGGCAGGTAGGCGTGGGAACACGCCAGCGCCATTTCCAGGTCGTTGTCGTCGTCGCAGAGGCAGACCGCGTGCCTCGACAAGAAGTCTTCGGGCGCGGAGCGGCCCCCGCTGCTGCGGCCGTGTGCAGCACAGTCCTCCGGGAAGAATTTCTTGGCCAGGTACAGGCAGCAATTCTTTTTGCCGCTGCAGGACGGGTAAAAGTCGACACACTTTAGATTGACGCTGGACACGATTCTGTTYCCGTCGGTGGCCGCATTCCAGGGTGGCTCTTCGAGGAGGAGTGCCAGTTGATCGATGCGGTTCGCGGTGTTGGATTGCTGCTTCTGGTTTACCCGAAAACAGGTCGCGTACCCCTTGATGTCGGTGGCGATTCCCTTGGTTGCCAGCTCCCGGGCAAGGTCCCACAGCAGACCGGAGCGTTCCTCCAGCGGAACCGTCGAAGCCGGCGACGASGGATCGTCCGCAACTTGTTGCAGCTTTGCCGAACCGAAGGACGAATACGAATGCGAATCTTCGGGCTCGTGTATTCCGGTCATGGCTTCTTCCATGGTTCGCTTCCAGTCGAGGTCCTCGCGGATCCCGAAGGGCCGAAAGTACCCGTCGTCGTCGCTGTGTTTGTCGTTTCCTTCGTCCCTAAATCGATGCGGTGTGACCCAGAAGACGTCGTCGTGTCCGTTGCCGTTTTCCCCAYCGTCTTCGTCGGAACCGATCGGATAAAATATCCGTCCACCGTTTTCGCTGCAATACGCATCGGCCCTTGGCAGGTATGGAAGGCGCTGCAACAGCGTGGGGGTTCGCATCCCCGAAACGAGAACGAATTTCACATTTGTTCCGGAATTGCCACCCTTTCGAATCGTCCTGACGAGCGACAGCGTCTTGGTGGAAATCACTCCCTTGAGCCCCGTCGATGACGGTGGGAATTCCAGGACGCCCGTGTTTGCTTCGCTGGTGTCGTTGCCGACGTCGTCGTCTCCGGAACCAACGGGATAGTGAATCAGGGTTCCATCGAGGTCGGAGAAGACAATCTTGAGAGCGCCGTTTTGCGTTGCGCCGGTGTTCGCAGCAGCAACAGAAGGCATGGTTGCCGGAGTTGCCGAGGACGACGATGCCTTGTCGGTTGCCAGCAGCAAGACTAGAATGCAAAAGAGTCTGATTCTCGTGCGGGGAGACACAGAAGAATCCGCAGCAGCAACAACAACTTCGAGTTGGTCGTGTCCCTTCCTCCCTGGGATTGCGCTCGTTTTCTTACTTCTAGTGGTCCTTCTTTCACCACAGTGTCTTCTGGGTGGGTTCGATTTCAATGCCAGCATGGCGGAGTCCCGTCGCAGGTTTTGTTTGTGGGTATGTACGGTACGCGTGTTTCAGATTTGATGATGAGTTGTGTCGCAGTCGTACTGAGTGAGGAGCCATGTTTCGAAACTCGAAAAGAATGTACCGGTATCAAAACTCAAAACAGAACGAATGAAAATACGATACGACACGACTTGTGGTAGGTACTACCGGTAGGATCACGCACGATCGCGTCGCACTCACAACTGCTTCTAGTACTAGGACTACGTACCGGTGGCATTAGTTTTTGATTTTGGTGAGATGGATTCATATTCTGTCTGATTGGACGCTTCTTTGAAGGCGATATCGAAGGGAGTGAATACTTCTTCGACATTCTAATGATCCCTGAATGCAACTACAAGTACTAGTACGAGTACCTAGTAGTAATACTACTACCACTAGCAACTGCTACTGAAGAATAACCTTGAACACTACTAGTTACTTCTAGTAGTACTTCTACTTCTACCACTCCTAGTATGACTACTACTACTACTAGTACTACCTACCGGTACTAGCTAGAAGTACAGTACTATTATTACCAGCAGCAGCTACTAGTAGCTAGTACAAGCTCTGTCAAGAAAAAGATGTGTTTTGCACATCGTCGTCGATCCATTTTCAAGAATTACACTCCTGGAAATTGTGGCCTACCGTAAGAAGGCACGGTACTGCTAAGAATGCAATGGCATGAAAGAATCTTCGCCTGAGATTATGTTTTTTCATTTCATGTTTTGTTTGATGAGGAGGTGATCAAAACAAAAACATCACACCGCTGCTGTAAGAGGACGAAAGTAAAACAAGGTTGGTGTACATACGAGTACTGTACGGTATCGTATGGAAGAAGGAATTTCATTCTTACCGCTTATGGCGGTTAAGTGATTTTGGCGCACCGATCTGCAGTCCAGCTCATGGCCTGTTTTTGGGTTAATTGATAGTTCTAATATGGCTCATATATGTCATTCCTTCCTACCTTCACTCGTGTTATAATTCGTCAGCAAATAATGCACCTAACTAATTCAAGCATATGACCGAATTTTGCCCGAGCCACAATGGGAACATGTCGTACTTTTTTGCTCGTTTCAACGTACGTCTACCGGCTCACTCGTTCTGTGCACGATTCAGAACTTCGCCCGTCTCTCCTTTCCAAAAAGCTCTCGCTCTCGAAGGTACGGAACGGCGAGGCGAAGCAACCCTCGACATCCTCGTGTAGCGCGATACAAAGTGTTCCTCCGTCACATACCAACGAACACCGCCAACCAGCCGACAAAGATAGCAATGGCTCCGAGCGTTTGGTCACAAAAACATTCTGCGAACCACAACCAACTCTTTACGATTAGAACACATAGCGACACTAATTGCGACGACACCTGTTCACAACAAACACCTAAGTAGAAAACAACCAAAGGGTGAAACAATCACTAGCCTAATATCGAAACGAGTCATCACAGTATTCTTCCAGCAAACTTTGTACCGAACCTAGCAATGGCTCCTTTGGCATCCGCGTCTCCGAAAAAGGGAGACGGGGCGAACGGGGCGAACGGTAACAAGAAAACGAGACACTCCCCCAGCGTCGCGTCCAAAAAAGAATTCGGAGAAAAGATTTCCATCCACAAACCGGATTTCCAATCGATGGAGAAGAGCTCGATCCGTAGGGTGACCCTGGCTATCGCAGGCGACAACGAGAGCGATGCCGAACACGAACACGACAACAGCCGGCGAAAGGGGCAGCATTTCCCACCCAGCATGCTCATCCCCGTGCTCCCGAGCCACGTGCCAACCCCGCAGACCATCGGAACGAACGACGAGCCGTGGGCCAAGTACAAGGTAGAGGATGCGTTCCACCACATCCAGACCATATTTTCTCGGGGAGGCGGGAACAGCGAAGGGAACACCAGCGATGGTGGCAACGCCAACGGCAGCAACACCATTAGCCACGACGGACCCATCAAATACGCGCCGTCTCCGATCACGCCTCCACAATCGCCGGTGTCTAGAAAAGCGACTGTGACACTCGACCTGACACCCACAGCAACGACGACCACCAGATGGGGCGCCGATTTCTGGAATTCTCACAAGAAAAAAAACACAAACAGCCCCACCAGCACGATGACCAATAGCCTTGACGTCTCCCAGTCTCCGAGCAGCGACAAACACAGCAAAAACAGTGCCGGTGGCAACGAAGGCAACACCACTACMAACGACAACAGTAGCAACTACAAAAACCATCCCAATAAAGAATCGATACCGGCCGAAAACAACAAGATTTTTGACCAAGAAACCGACGACAACCATTTTGATTGGGCAAAACAAGATGCCTTTTTGAGAGAGGTCATGGCACGGAAACGAGGCAGAAGGCCACCGAGTTGCAGCAACGGCAACAAACAGCAGCCCCCAGCTCGATCAGAGGAAGGTGTCGTCGCCACGAATACGGCTCTGTCGCAGCCGTCGAAGCGGCCGCACTCGCCCCCGGGGAGCAACACGGTTGGAACGATTGGCGGCTCCCGCGCGAAAAAGACCGCGGCCTCAACGAGAACGAAGGCGGACAGTTCGAGGCCGCTGCCGTCATCGGTTCTGCCCTTTTCCAACCACAAGCAGCCACCGACCCCCCTGCAGCTCCAGTGGATGCACGAAAACGCTCTCAATCTACAAGGTCACTGCCGAAAAAACTCGTACGGGATATAGAAGCGACAGAATCAAATCGAGTACGATTTGAGGAGTCGTCTTCGCAACGACCCGGGCGGTTTCGGTTTCGTGAGATTTGTGCTCGCGGTTCTGATCTAGATCCAAGGGATTGTGACAATAGGTGATTCATAGCAATAGATTTGKGGATAAACAATGCGCGGGACAAGAAGTATACTCTGCAATATCATTCTCCATCATTTAAAAAAATAGCCAGCAACCTTTTTTTGGATTTCGAAAGAACTATGTATAAATCAATCCCTCTTGCCTATCGATGGTACTASGCGTTTTAAAACAATTGCATGCAGTCATCACAGGATGATTTTTATTCAAATTCTTTTTAAGAAGACATAAGGACAACCCATTCAAGCCCCGTTTGTTATCTCATTCCTAAAAAAGAACGATGGTCAAAAATAAATATGGATTATGCCGTTCTTGCAGYATTCCCAAAAAACAGAGCTGTAGAATCTGTGTCAGGACACAGAATTAGAAGTTCTTAACTTTGAAGTGAAGTGAAAAAGCTTTAGTTTCAGTTTAATGCCATCTGTGGTTGCATCATTCAATTGTTTTGAAACGCAAMGTTTTCATCTAATGTAGCAGAGTTTACTACGTGCAATGAGCCCAAACCACGGGCTCTATAACAATTACWAGCGATCGAATACATTCACTGACTATCAGTCACATGTATACTAAACTTGAGAGCACATGTTAGGAATAACAAAGAAATCTTCCTCGGCTCATCAGCCATCATCAGAACAACAAGATGGCAAAMTCATCGCGAATATTCTCATATACTGCTCCTCTTCTCCATCGTAGAGCAACAACATTGTCAGGCTAAACCACAGGCTGAACAACAATCACGAGGAGCTAGAGGAGTGAATATACAACGAAAAAGAGCATACTACTATTTCACAACAATAGCCACTTGATGATTTGTAGTCATTCTACCAGGTCCATCTCAAAGTCATTTATGAATCCAGCCCTTCAGTAATTCTTCCAGCAATTCCAAAAACCTGCTCTATGAAGTAGAATTCGTCCGAGGACACAMTACTTTGAATTGAAGTTTATTGCCTCAAAATTAAAGCTATTAATGTATTCAATTGTTGTGTTAAGCGTACTATGATGCCAATGGGTTTGATGTGAGWGTGATCAAGGCTACGTAGCGTGCCCTTCTGTGATATTRGTCAGGTATGCCACCCTTCGGAACGCGTCTGGTCGACTTCTGGTCACGTAACCTTCTGCTATCAAGTGATCAACCTTTGCGATTGCTCCCCACAGCCGATACAGCTCAACCGACTTCTCAAAGTAATCATTGGCATCACGATATACATTCTGCGCATCCGATAACGATCTTCTGTTTTTCAAAGTTTGGGCATGCTTCAGTACGGTCAATCCCGCTCTCTCGTACGCAAGTGCTTGTTCGTGCACCAGCCCTTCTCCTTCCGCAAAGGATGCGGATTTCTCAAAGAGTTCGAGACCGCCATTTAAATCCCCTTTTGCGATCCGAAACTCCGCCTCGACCATCAGAACCTTGTTTTGACAGTTCGCTTTGCAGTGAATCGCGTGTTTCTTCATGAATTGTAGGGAACGAGTTGCAATTTTGGTAAATTTTTTTCGTTTGTTTTTTGTAGTAGCATCAGCCGCCAAGGCCAGGCACGTCATGCTCTCAAAAAATTTGTACGAGAAGACAGTGAAGGCAGCAGGATTGCTCTTCATCGTGATGTAACATTTTCGCGCCATTTCAAACGCAAACTCATAATTATGAAACACATAGGCGAGCCATAGCTTTCGAAAGTGAAATGCAGCAACACATAATATGTTATTTGATAGCAATGCTTCTCCCATGAGTCGTTCTTCATCGCAGGCCTTCCCGGTCAGTATCCATGGTATTTGCTGTTGGTTGATGGAAGTATTGCTGCTGTCGTTCGCTTGAAGATTATAGATTTGTTGAAGCAAGGGCGTAATGACGGACGTGCAAGATGTCTGTCGAAATTTGATGGCCACTGTCAMAAACTTGCTAACCTCGGCCTCCATTTGGTCAAGGGGCAGTCCAGCATGAAAGGCATTCGCCGCCCACAAACTTGCATTGACCAAAGCAAATTCTATATCTCCTGTACAAAAAGCCATTTTATGGCATTCCATCAAGGGCTCGAGAACAAATCTTAGTGGCTAAATAGAAAAATGAGAGTCGTCAAGAGAATTATTATACAAAAAGCACGTAAGTTTCCAATCGACAAACAACTGGAAAAAGCATCAATGACGAACCAAGCAGCCAGAAAATTCATTTTGCATATTTTCGACTTCATTACGTACCGTGGTCCAGCTTTTAATATAGCCATAATATACTGCGGTGACTCGGGGTACCAACTGCCTGTCATCAAAATGATCGACTAGCGAGACTGCCAACCTCCCGTTTCGGTTACCATTAATTAACTCTCCCATAGCGCATAGYATAAACCCGTATCCAGAAAATCCCGTAGCTGAAGTGGAAGTAAAACCGTACTTAAGGGATAGCTGAACCATTCGAAAGCAGGCAAAGGGYGCCTTGGGATGTTTGAGCACGATACAATAAGGGTAAATAAGATTCAGTATTCTCATTGCGGCCAGTTTGTTCTCGTTTTGCATGAGAGGCACCTGTCCAATATCACTATAGATATCAAAGGAGGACTTCACCATGCGTTTTGTTTTCATCAGGTCCAAAAATAGAAACATTTTGTTGGTTCTTTTGGGAAAGCGCTCCCCCAAGACTTCCAACAAACTAAATCCCTGTGCAATTGCTTCGCAGAGACGCTCGCGGCTGCCGAGAGAATTGATCATTGCAAAATATGCCCTCATCTTGTCTCGAAGGTTCTTGGCATTCAACAGTATCTCCTTAATGAGGTTGTCCATACGCTCAAAGTTAGCCGTACAGTACTCAACTTCGGCTGCAGCGCTATAAATGGCCAGAGAAAAATCGTATTCGTCTCTCCAGTATCCGTTCTGAACGTCGACAAAATTGCTTTTAAGACACTTGATTCCCAGATCGAGATAAGTTGCCGCCGTCACAAAATCGCCCATGCCGATCGCCAGTTCCCCTGCCTCAAGCAAGATGGAAGCAACCATCTTTTTCTCGGCCTTATCATTTATGATGTTCGCTGAAAGCCCATGCAATAACAAATTCACAATCAAGAAGATACAATAGTCAGCGTCATCGCTGYAGTTGCTGTTTGTATCCGCCTGGCGCTGAGCGTGACCCAGTAGTCTACGCCCAACGTTAGTGTAAAAGACGTCTCGTTGGTCGTCTTGGATTAAAGCCGCTGCAGCCTGCTGAATCTTGTCGTGGCAAAACCGAAAGCTCCCACTCCCGGTATTCATTCTCACTAATTCTTTTTCAATCATTAAATCCAGAGAMTCGGAAAGCAGTCYAGGACAGTATGCATACCCCATCATCGAAAGGTGTTGGTTTGAACGATTTGGCATCGCCCGGAGGAGCAGCTTCGCGCTGAATTCAGACCCGAGACAGGACGCTACCTTCAGCGTTTCCTGAACGTCTGAGGGCAGTCGTCTCATTAGATAAGCCAGTATTGAGACAGCATCCTGGCTGGTGTGTGCCACACCATGGAGAGCACTGCATCGGATCGCGTCCTCGTTCCATAGCCAGCTTGTCTCTAATGATGATGATAATTGCCGTTGCCGGTCCAAAGAATTAGTAGATGACGAGCAAGAATCTTCGGCGGCAGCTGGAAGAGACGACTTGATTATGGTCTTCGAACACTTCTCTGCTTGCGTCTGTGCAGTCTCGATGGTAGTTGTGCGCCTTATTACTTGTGACGATATCGCTCGTGGACGTTGTTGGGCCTGCAGATATCCTTCGTCGTGTAACGATCGAAGGAATTGCAAAAGGAAAAAAACGTTTCCCTTGGTTTGATCGTACGCAATATCAACCAACGGGTCTAGGGAATCTTTCCATTCGGAATGATCCGYRGGAATGCCCAAAACGTTTGCCACGAGTTCTTTACACACGGAACGGGACAAGTTGGACACCTCGATTTGTCGAATGGTAACGTTGTCTTCGTCTTCGAGGGTACGCAACAATTTGGCCAGGTCGTGGTCGAGTTCGACTTCATTGTGCCGGCAGGTGCCGACTAGCAATAGCCCGCTGGGCGAGTGAATACTCCCATTGCTCTCGGTCGTTTTCGTGAATTCGTTTCGCAGTTCGTAGTTCTCAATCTTTCGTGATGTTTGAGCTTGCAATTTCGATTCGGAATCCGTCAGCAAGAGGGAATGCAACAAGACCAGCGTCCCCGGATCGGCCCACTGCAAATCGTCGATCAGCAAGACGACCGGTCGCGTGCGAGGGTCACAAACGCTTTTCAGAAACGTTCGGACAACTCGCGCAAGCTGTTTCTGGCGGTCGTGAGTGGTAGTTGCCTGTGTCTCGATACTGCTGCTGGTATTGTTGATGTTGGYTGAGTTGCTCTTACATTGTTGCTGCTGCTTCCTCCGACTCTGGATAATATTKTTTGGATATGTGGTGGCTGCTGTCTTTTTTTGGGAATACAACGGCCCTCGTTCTGTGTTCGTGCTTTCGTCGCGGCATTGGTGTTCCTGTTGACCTTCGTGGGTTGGCTGGATTATTCTCGTGAGTGATGAAAAGGTCTCAAGCAGCAGATCTATGTCTCCCTTGCTCATGCTTGAGCAGGTCAGCTCCCTAATCCTTTCGACCTCATTGTTGTTCTTTTTCAAAACTAGGTCCACAAAGTTTGAAAAAGCCGCCACAAACGGAGCGTATGGCCGTTGTGGAGGACTCTTAGAACTTGTGTGGTTGCATTGACTGTTGTTCCATTGATCGAGCTTCCCGGAAAGGAAATAACCGTTACCAGCTTGGTGGTTTGTTACGATATCCTTTAAAGTCGCTTCTACAAGCGCAGTCTTTCCCGTCCCTGACAAGCCTGATACAAGAACAAATTCTTTTTTGGTGTTCAATTCGATGCTGTTGCTGTTCAAGTTAGTTCTGTAAAAACTACTCAGAAGCTGCTTCTGCTCTTCCTCCCGATCGAATAAGTAGCCATTTTTTAAAAAAGACCAATCTAGATCTTGTTGGGCCGATTTTGGACGTTGGGAACTTTGCGATTGATGGTGTTGTTGACTTTCCGATATGTGGTGTATTTGATCGTTCTTCTCCTTATCGTGAAGCGTTGAACTGTGTTCTTTCTTCAAACAATGCGGCTCCTGCATTGAACACGACTTGAAACTTGTTGTTGCTTCTTGATCTCCATGAAGATATACATGCATGTCGTTCTTCGTAACATATCCATCTGCCGTTGTGCTTGTTGTTGTTACATCAGAACTAATGCTCGTATCTGTGCATGCTGCACTCATGGTATCACTAAAACAACTCGGAGTATTTGCAGTATGTCTCGTAGTCGCAGAATCTAGGGTGCTGTTTTTGCTGSATGATATGGAGCGGCCGATGCTGCTACTCCCTTGCCAACTATCKTTTGTATTATTACAACCCTCGCTCCTATTTCTATTAGTGATTCCTTTGAATTTTTTATCATTGACATTCGCAGTGGTATGCACCACATGCACATGGACATGCGTCACGGGAGGTGTTGACGATGGCATTTGTGGACCATGGTGGCTTTCCTGATCTACCAAAACTGTTGCCATCGGTGTTTGTTTTCGTTGTCGCAGTTTTCGTGTGCGATGAAATCGGAGTCAAAAAATAAAGGATGAAAAGTCCATAGCGACAGAAATGTCATCGCGTGTCTCCTTGTTTGGTAGTTTGATTGTTGTTTGAAATCAATACAGTATTACTGCTGCATATAGGTACWATTTACATAAGCATCASGGAYRACTTACAGTCTTCAAAAAAGAGTATATTTTATCATMAAMAAATATCAYTGAATTTCAGAACAACAGCTGTTGTCCTATGGTTCGTGTTATTWACATGTAGAAAGAACGAACCTATTCCTTGGATTACTGTTATTTGTCTATGAYGAAGAGCGCTATTGACAACAATTTCTTGGATSGTTCAAAAAGAAAGATTAAAGGAATTTGCAAGCACCTCCCTAAAAAGAGTTGAACTTATATACTYAACACGRTATCTATCCCAGACATGGACTTAATAATTGTATGTTCCAATTCATTGAGGGTGTATTATTTTCATTGATCGACATAATAGAAGTCAACGCTTGTCATACTTKGTCAACCTTAAATAGGAACCTGACGTTTCGTCTATTTTTATCATGATAAATTTAGTATGAGGAAGTAGATTGACTCACGAAAAGGAATAAGGTGTACTGTAATCAACAAACAATCTGTCCCCTGCCATCTCCRGGAACCTTAAACGGAAATACGATAGTACTTTAAGTAAAAGCTTGGTAACGAATCATAATAAGTAGGAAAAAGTCAGCACCGTAAGGCACGGTACTTGTCGAAAGCCCATTGGGCCTCATAATCTGGTTTACTACTGTACTTGATAAGAATAATAGTAAGAGAATCTAGGGGCTAACGGAACGGTACGGAACGGTACGGAAAGGCATATTGCAACGTACGTACGAGTACTCAAAGCTACAAGATCCATGACTAAGTCGAATAAAGTGATCAGTACGAAGTACTGTACTTTAGTAGTCTACGATTGTGTAATATGCAGYACGGTATTACGCTCAGGGGTCATAATTTAGAGGGGAGCGCAACGCGTCGAAACTCATATTCCACGTGTGGTCCAAATTTCMAAAAAGTCACCGAAGGAATTTTTTTCATTCTCATTTTTACTGCATAATACTAGTAAAACTATCCAACCTTTAAGCACTTGCAACTTTATCAAAAATATTACTATTTTAATTTTTGAGTAGCCTATCTAGTCCAGTTTTTTATGCTGATTCTGAATATRCCATTTTSTTGGATATYAAATTGATATTTGTGGTACTATTTTACTATTGAAAAATGAACATAATTTTCCACAGTAGTACAAGGTTAAAAAGAGAATTCAAAGAGCTTTCGAATGCGGTGGGGGAGTACGACATCCGACGAATATTGACTGATATACATTTACGTATATATTGAATTGCTAATGTACGACTGGTGCGTCTTTTTTAGCTTGGCCAACGCTACTATACAATAGAACACTTCTTGGCAAAATCCTCTACTATGCATACTACTAGTACAATGTTGGATGTCCTGCTGACATTGGATTTGCCTTATCCACAATGTCCACATTCTCATTGAATCCATCAGACTTATATTTCAAATACCTCAAGAAAGGTGTGTCCTTTACCTTTGATGCACAAAAATGTGGGGTCTATGATACAACAAAACTACAATCTTACAGGACAACGAACTCCAGGATGGAAACTTTGACAATTCTCCAATACCATTACCATCAGACAATCTTCCACCATTTCCATCTTTACCTACAAACACTACCATCACCTGTGTAGTTGATGCCACATATGCAAATATAAAACCAAAACAAAAATCTAACACTGCTGGCTTTGCCATTATGTTAGTAGCATGCAAAAAGCTGCCATTGTATACAAATTGAAATCCCAAATGCAAACTGCACAAAGCTCAACCAAAGCAGAATTCTATGCTACTGTCTCCACTGCAAAAATTGTTCTATACCTCAGGTCAATTCTTGCTGACCTTGGATTTCCTCAACAACAACAACCAACAATGTTGTATGAAGACAATGATTCCACAATAAAAATTCTATTTTCAGGAGTTCATACAGAACAATCACAACACATGGAATMATGGCAAGAAAGGGTACTTCGAGTCTCAAGTTGTGCAGGGTTAATATATTGTAATCATCTTATTCTAAACCTGTCCCATTGACTAAATTAGTTAATCAATAATCGCCTCCTTTTGATAGTGCTGGACAACTATTATTGTCCATAGGGGCTTCACAATCAGACTGACTCAAATYAGCGACAGTGTGCCTACTTTCGTCGTGTGATGCTACCGTCGAAGACTTGTCGTCCTGCTTCAATCGGGCTGCGGATCGTTTCAAGGCGGTTTCAAATAATTGTAGYGCAGCGTTCTTGGATTCCCAGGCATCCAAGATTCGTTTTCTCTGCGCTTGCATGCGCAYYCTTGACTCTCGTACGTTCTTCAAGGCGTCTAGAATATCCTCAGAACTTTTTTGCATTAGTGCGAAATAAACGTTCTCTTTCCAGTTTGGACACGAAAGTTCCAGCATCTCTATMCTTTTTTTCTCTTGCGACGAATAAGTGGAAAGAACCTCTTCCGCGACCGCCTGTGCACCCTGGGATAGTAATGATGGATTGGCACGGCTTTCCCCCTCGGCGCTGCTTACGACATTACGTRAAATATCTTTTGCGGCATATGTTTCTTCGTCCCGGAAAAGGCCAAGCAAGTCGTCCAATCCAGCATCGTCGTTTGCTACCGTTTCAAGATCTCTGTTATGTGACGACTCGAAAAGATCATCCCAAAGCGGTATGGATCGCGAGTTGTCTTCCATCCTTTTTTTATTGTTTGTTTCACATCGCTGGTCCTGTGTCATAACAAGGATCGTGTCAAAGATAGAACCAGGTGTCGCCCCCATGCCTTCATTTTCATCGTTACTAGCCCCATTGTCCCACTCCAACCTGTGAATTCTGTTACTGCAATCTCGCTCAGGTACGTACTCGGTTGGCACCTCTTCATTAGAATTATTTTCCTCAAGACAGAGAAAGCTTGTTTCGTTTGTTGAAATTTCAATGTTTTCCTTGGAATYATTCTCTTTGTCATCGATGACATTAACATCATTATTTTGTTTTGTTTTTTCTTTGTCCCTTGAAAYACCCATCACTTCAAATAAGGTGGGTTGGTATGCTTGAAATGAAAAGAAAAAAGGCAATTGTGCAGAATAAGATGCATCAAAATGCACGAAAAGCAAGAAGAGTCAACCCGTGGAGTTAGATTCTTTTTTCATTCTTGATATTGCAATATAGTAAACGAGTATAGCTGCTGATGCTGCTTTTTTCTAATGATTGTGTACGCTTACTCGGGACGCTTGGAAAGACCCTCGTCTGGGCCTTTTCCACGACGTTTCTCGATAACCCCTTGCTTTCGGTTTGCTGTTGTTCGAAGACCTCGGCGTCTGGCAGGAAATAGGAATCGTCCGTTCCAATTCCCATTACCTTCCCACCTTTTCCCCTCTCATTGTTTGCGTCRGCACCTCTTCGCGGTTTAGTTCGCTTCCAGGCTTCCCGGCGGTGTTTTTTGAGCCTTCGTCGGACAAATTCCGTTTGTTCCTCGAGGCGTTCGGTCGACTGCTCAAGCTTTTGAAGCCTGCGTGCCAAGGTCTTTTCGATGGCCCCGTCGGACCGAGAAAAGTCTTTGATTTCTAGGGTTGCAAGGTTGCAGTGATCGTTGGTACTGGTGTTTGTTCTTTGGCATGGGCAGGTTTTGCAAAGAGCACAGGCTTGTGTCTTACGGGTTCTTTTGCGAGGCCGGATCTGTTTTACTGCGTTAGCACCAGTCGTTCCTCCGTTTGCGGGCATGTCATTGTTTGTGCTGATTTCATTGCTATTATCATTTGGTTTGGTCTTCGATTTCGATCTCCTTTGTTTGGTAGTCGCAGCACTTGGCTTCTTTTTCTTTGATGCTGGTTTAGCTTTCTTTGGACTTGGTGCAGTCGGAATCGTTGCATTATCGTTTGGTATTTGAACTCCTGCGTTCTCGTGATTTCGAGCAGCATGCTGTTTCGATGTATGCCCCGGTGTTTCCTTCGGTTSCTCTGGTAAGAGTTCAGAGGAACGCTTGCCGTTGCTGCTARTTTCCATTGTCACCTCGCCTCTCGTTTCCACGACGGACTGGACTTCTGTTGCCACAACATGGGGCACATCCAAGCAGGCAGCGACTTGTTTCCATTCGCTTGCCCCYTTTCCCCTTTCTGCTTTGTTTTGCAGCGTGTCGGAAGAGAAAGATTCCTCGTTCACAACTATGACCTCGCCTTTCGCTTCCGCAACAAGCTGAGCGTCCATCGAAGGAAGCAGATTAGTCCTCGWCGCMTTGTCTTGCTCGTTTTCCTTCTGAAGTGTTTCATTGTTTTCTATGGCATTCAATCGTTCATCACAAAACCTCCCCACAATGGCTTCYCTTTCCACAGCAGCATGTGTGTCCGTCATTGAGGATTCACCAATCGTTAATGTATCGTTAACTCCCTGTCCCGCGTTTGATTTTCTGTCATCATCGTTTGCTGCATCGACATTCGAATCTACTTCGTTCGCTTTCCCCTCGGCGGTATTTTCGGCTGTCGTGCTATCGTGGTGKTCCTTGCTTGTGGTTTCGTCATGTTCCAACGCCATGATTTCGCCCTTGAGAAGAGACAGGACCCGCGCCTTGACTTTTTTCTTGGTCGCCTTGTCCAGTGGCTCGTCCATCCGCTGCCCGAGTGTTTTGCAAAATATTTTCATGGTGATCGTATTGGTGTCGGTCCGGAGAAAGAGTCGATCGATTTCACGCTCCAGCAATATTGCTTTCCGTCGKGCCAGCGCTTGTTGCGGCCGGCAAGTTGTTGGCTTTGAAGGCGATGCCGATTCGCCGTTCTCGTTGCCAGGAGCATACATGCAAGGTTCTTCTGAATAATCGTTATCACGCGGGATGYCGTCAATATCGCAACCGCCGTCCCCAAAATCGAAATCATTCGAACCGTCGTGATCTTCTGCTTGTGGTTCACTGCCCGGCTGACACTTTTTGCTCCCCAAAACTCTCCGTTCGCGGTTTTCACTGCCAGCCAACGACGATGACAACGAAAGCAGGTTATCATTGGATTCCTCCTTTTCGTAAACACTTCCTACTTCCGGAACTCTGATGTTGCCCACAAWTRTAGTAGTTGTTTYTKCTGCTTCCTTAGTTCTCGTTGACGATGGCAAGGATGCCAAATCATTGGATTTCTCCTTCTCATCGACGCTTCSCGTTGTTAGGGCTCTGATAGTGCCCTCAGTTGTCGTAGTTTTTTCTGCTGCTTCTTTAGYTTGTGMTTCTTGCGATCTGTTTCYTTGGGAGATGTTTAGGGTGGTTYGCTGCGGATCTGGCTTCGAATGGATCAATTCTTCTTCGAAATCGCTGTTCTCGGATTCGGTTTCGTCTGTATTTGAACCGCATTGTTCCRCTACCATCGATAACTTCTTTTGATTGTTTTTGTGGRTSCTGCTGTTCTTCTTGACGGSTTTTGTTTTGAATAGCTTTTTCTTGTGTTCGTTGCCACCCTCATTTTTTGTTTCGTCCCTGTCGCTGTTGCTGCCGATTTCGTCCTCGTCCTCGTCCTCGTCAAAAAATGCGCGTTCCAATCGACTCAGTTTATCCATAATGGTCGCCGTTTTGTCTAAAGGATCATTCCCAGCTGTGCTTTGACTGCTCGGTGTCATTTTGAARGATGGGATTGGGATTCTGGGCACCCGCCGCACCCGTCGTTTCAACCGAGTGTTTGCCGAAAGGCTGGAAAGTGGACCGTTTCGGGATCGCTTTTTCGATCCGTTCTGGGTCGGCCGGGCATTCTTGTTGTTGCTTTTGTTGTTGTACTTAGATAGATTCAAAGAAAATGCACTRTTGAGTCCGGGATTRCCTTTTCGCTCGTCGTCGTCGGAAAATGCCATYTGGCTTTAACAACCCTCGCAATGCGGCAGCTTGTATACGAAACAATGATAACAATGCCGAAGATAGCAACAGCAATGGCAATRGCAATAGCAATAGCACGTCCGGTACTCGTTGCGATCTCTYTAGGGATCTATGGGCAAATCATCGATAWTCTTCAATTTATCGYCAACCGTTTATTTGGTTTTGTGGGCAATAGGAGCCAATACTTTTGTTGGACTGGATGAACTTGTTGCACCGGTATCGCTGTGATTTCAAATTTTGCTTCTTGTCTGTAAATTGACGCCGACGGCATTCATGTACGGTGCGAGCATTTCAAGATACAATTACGCTAGTACCGTACGACTTCGTAGTAGCATCGAAATGGTACGTACAAACTGTACCAGTACATGACACGGAAGTACAGTACGGTACGTACGGTAACGTACCGTACTTGAGGAGAATACAGTAAGTACGTACGTACAGAAGAACGTACTTCTCGTACATTTGACTCTGGTTTGAATTTTTATGGGCTGTGTTCGTACTTGTAGCAGTCCCATGTACGACTCAACGAATATGACCCTCGACTAAGGGGTCTAAATTTATGACCCGTGCGTCTAGTGCCGTATTTTGGTACGAGTACTSTACCGTAGGATTCGACCACTCCGTGGTGATTCATAAGTCTCAGATGGAATGCKACACACACATTCCTTAGACGAGCTAAAATATGTTTAACTGCTTGTAAATCTTAWTCTTTGCATGTCCATTGCGTAACAAAAACGGCTTAAGCACGCTTTTTTTCAGTTCTTCCAAACCAAGAGAATCCTTCCAATCTGGATCTGCGATGCGACGCCGCCAAGCTGCATCGCCACAAAAGCCACCAACGGACCAGACCGAAGCTAGTTTCGATCCAGAATCATCGCCCAGGACAAACAACATCATGGTGAAAAGCAGTGCCCAGTCGAGCCAAAAAATGGCCGTAGCTACGGAATTCGAGGTCGAATCTGGTTCAGCCAGAGATTACCCGAAATCCTTCTCHTTTTTTCCGCGAAACTACACCGGACGCAGGAAGCTTGCGATTGCGGTGTGTTGTTTCTTCGCAGTGCTATTGGTAGTGGTGAAAAACTCGAAAGGTGAGRCAAAACGAAACTGAGAAACGAGGATTAGTATCCGTTTTCGATGCGTTTTTTCTGTTCTGCCTAGGGGGGACTTTGAGAGTTGTTTGATGATTAGCGTTAAAGTTAAACCCCAAATTCTTGTTCTCCGTACTTGTWCTCGTACCGGTACTTAGCTACAGGTACTCGAACTCCTACAAGTATGTACACGTAATGGTACCGTACTCCTATTATCGAACAGAAATGCAACAAAAAAATTCGACGCGAATGTGGGTCATCATGGTTCTCGTACTCGTACACTCCTATTCTGCGTTTTGTTGATAGTTGGTGTTGTGTTTTCCCATCATCAAACTCCATTTCGGCCCATCGTATGCAAGTGACTTTGATGCGTCTTGTCTTTAATCGATAACGGTAAACTCGACGGCATTCCATTGTATGACTGGGAAAAACAAGAGCTTGAGGCACAGAACCAATCTGGAATCCCCCCGCAAGGACGCCACGACATCGCAATCGCGCGACAGCACTACACCCAAATTCAAAAACCACATGGCCTACACTCGGCGCAGCATTGCAACACCGTTTCCTCGAGGTGGCAATAGCAACGTCTTGTTGAACAATAATCGGAGCCTTACTTCGTACCGAAAGAAGTTCATCATCATCCTTGCCGCTACATCATTTTACACGGCTTTTTTGTATCAACGGGGTCAGTGATCCTTGTTTTGTTTTCCCACTCCTGTGATCAGATTTCCCGTCACGCCGTGCCATTCGATTGCCCAGATTGAATCGCAAAGAKGAATGCACTGCTGACAAAAATTCTCGCGCKGCAGCCATTTAATTGCTAGCACCATTCCGATGATCTAGACGGATCGATTCGACTCGACTCACGAACATCAACACTTTTGCCTACCTCCGTTCATTCTTTCTATTTTCGCATAAAGGTGGAGCGAGCACCTACCTTGGATCAAGCCCTGAGACATCGGTGCACAACCCTATGAGTAAAATGATTTCGGCCGGTCGCAAGTTRGCTGTMACCACATGGAACATTGCTGCCATCAACAACAACCCTTTCGAATACTGGATTACGTACAAAGAAAATCCGGATTATGAAAAATTGATGATTAACATTGAAAATTTCTTGCAGAATCCTGGAGAAAATGATGTTCCCGTAAAGGATGTGTTCACGGAAGAAATGTTCACCAAGTTGGATTCTCGTTTGACTGGTGTGGGATGGACCAGCGTTCGGCCGTATTGGGAATCGGACTTTCAAAACCGCAAGATCGTATCTGGATTTATGAAAGATCCCTTGTTGGGRAGCAAGCGCCTGGCTTCCATGCCCGATCGCATTACCAACACGATCAATGTCGAGGGAGGCGGTCAAGTCTTCAGACCAACCGTAATCAATATGTTTGCAGGTGACTTGGCGACACTGGACTTGTGGTGGGCCGCATGGGAGTCGTTCATGTTTGACAACAAGCTTACATACAAAGGAAAGAACGGCATCGAGTCGAAGGCTCCCTACGAAATGCTTCAGAAAATCAAGAAGGCAAAGTATCCCGATATAACCGAGCAGGAAGAGACGGATTCCTTGCCGCTTCAAACCATGTGCGGAGCTATTTTTGATGCTATTCTAGTGCACATGATGAACACCGTGTCCACTCCCGAGATTTGGCAAACTCTGAAACAGACCATGGTTGAAAATCTCAATAAAAAGAAGGTCCCACACACCTTGGAGATTCTGAAGTCCACGTACGGGGATGCCGATATTATCACGCTCCAAGAGGTCTCCTCTTCGTTTATCGATCAGGCACGTGCTTCCTCGCTCGGAAAGACATTCCACATTGTTGCACCGGCGGACCTCGATGCGGTCCGAGACCAAAATTCGGTGATCTTTTTGAAAAAAGAACTGTTCCCGAAGGGGCCTGGGGTAGAAATCACGAAACTGGTGGAGGCGGAGTTCCCGAAGGGCAGCAAGATGGTCGCAAGGGGAGATATTTTGGCCATTACGGCGACCAACAAATACGGTCTCGATCTCGTTGTTGCCTCGTTCCACGGCGACACAAACGGATTGGCCACCAAGCCGGTCGTGGATGCCACCATGAAAGCATTGAAATCGGAGAGCACCCTGAAAAACCACCGCCTCGTTTTTGGTATGGACGCAAACACGTACGAGCACGCCAAGCCCGGAAAGCAACAAGACGTTCTGGATTTTGCCAAGAACGTTGTGTCGCACGATTTGACGTCCTGCTGGGGGGACGTGCCCAATCCCTCCAACTATACTACGTACAATGCGCGGACTTATCTCCAGCCGCAACTGAACAAGGCTTGCAAGAGTACCGAAAAGCGCGAAAAGGGCGACGTCAATCCAAAGGATTTCATTATTTTCCCGAAGCGTGACTTCAAGGTGGTAAAAACCTGGAAGGACAACACGGGGAGAAAGGAATACATCGAAGACATGGCATTCCCAACGCTTGAATTTCCATCCGACCACGGGTTGTTGTCAACCATTCTAGAACCCATTGAGTAAATACGCGATAGTACATGATAAAGATTTCATCCTTGCACGACGTTCGGTGTACTTCTATTTTGTACATCTGAACACTTTTTCATTACTATTCTTGGACTGTCGCACTCTTTACAGATGATTCAATGGCTTGTATTTTTCCAGAGTGAGGCGTCATTTTTTTAAAAGTCGTTTTACATTAGTACAATGGCTCTAGCTTACAGTTACAATTCCCCCGGCTTTTGTCACCCAAATGAATTCCACCATCGATATGGACTATGCCGGCAGCGGATCCCAATACCAAGTATTCCGACGCCGGGTGTCCTTCCCCCTCCCCAGAGAGCTGCCCCGTCGGATAAGTTTGCTGTGCTGCAATCCCTTGGTAGATTCTTGTTATTGGCTGACCTTGTTTTTCTTGGCGGGGGATTCGTGAACGTCGCCACCGGAGTCACCGGGTCTTTTAGATTCCTCCTTTGCCGATTCTTCCGCCTTTTTTTCTTCGCCATCGGTTTTTGTTTTGGCCGCGACCGTGTTCGGAGTACCCCCATCGGTCCCCGATTCCTGCTTTTTCTTCTCTTGTTCTTGATGTTTCTGTCGTTGCAGAGCCGCAAGCTCCTTGAGGGAGTCACCGCCAACAGCTCTGGGACTCTTTCCCCTTGCCGTGAGAGTCGCGCAGTGCCGGCTGGCAATTTCGTCGTCTTCCATGAACCGGCGGCGGTCCGTTTCTTCGTGGGTCATAAAGGTGTCTCGTGTCTCCTTAGTCAGGCATTCCCATGCGCTCATGAGACGGGTGTTTAGGTTGGAATTCACAAGCATCGGATCCGGTGTTGCCGACTGGTCCTCCATGCTGCGTTTCACCTCCTCTTCGGCGAGGCTGCGGTATTGTTCGATGTTCTCCCGGACGAAGAAGTGAAAGTCGGTCTGGATCGGCTTGACCTCTTCGGTRGTAATTTCGGTGGCCGCGGCGGCCCGCAAACGCTCAACCTCGCCCTGGTCCGGCTTCAGGGATTGCTGCGGGCCGCTGCGCTTGCCGTTGGCATCCGACAGGGCAGAACCGGGCAACCCCTTGGTTCCAGCGGTCGAGCTACCGCCTTTCTTTGTGAGCGCCGACGATCCACCCGAGACAAGGGAATTGAGGTCCGAGAGGGGCGCCACCGCACCGGGCAAAAGACCGTTCTGCATCCTGCCGTTTCCCCTGCCTGGAGCGGCGGATGGATTCACCGGGGAAGGCCCCCGGAACGACCCCGGCGGCCGGTGCAGGTTCGCACCCTGGCTCCCATAATGGCCCTCGTAACCTCCCCCGTAGGGATAGGCCGGGTGGGGAGCGGACTGCGGATAGCCCCCGGGGCCGTATCCAGCGGCGCCGTAGGGAAACGAATGGGGGGGCATGGAGTACGCAGCAGCGGCCGCGGCAGCGGCGGCGCCCCTGGGATAGCCGGGGGGATGCGACCCGGGAGGGGGTGCTCCCCCGTATCCCCCGTCGCCGCCGTAGGGAGCGGGGGGATACGAGCTGTACGAATTGCCAAAAGATCCGTGCGACAGAGCCGAAGGCCCGCCGTATCCCATGGGTGGAGGTGGTCCACCGGGCCGCAGCTCTTGCTCCGCGTGCTGCGAGTAGCGTGGGTGGCCACCGAGACCCATGTGGGGGGGACCGGAAGACCCCATGGGGGCTTGCTGGTGCTGCTGGTGTAGTTCCATAGAGGCAGATGCTGTTGCCCCGGCTGATCTGTGATTGGGGTCTCCCATTTTCTCGGTTTGTGCGTTCATCAGGTGCAGATGCGAGAAACCCGAGATTCAATTGCGAATAGCAGTGTTGTAGGGGTTCGCGTTGCAATACCGCGGAACGGAGGAGATTCTTGGGCAAGATTGCAGTTTGTTGGTTAGTTCTCCAACCCGAAATRAAATGGTTTGGGTTTGGGTTTGATGCACACAGCCAAGTTTCCGGAGGATGATTGCGTTCATTTAAAGGATCAAGGCATTATCTTGTAACCGTAGTACTGTACTATTCCTTACTAGAAAATGYGTGTTCAAATGAACGGATATTTGCAACGGACCACCAACAGTAACCCACATAGCCGTTGTCATGGTTCACGATGAGAAGATGAATGGTTTCAATCCGCTACACGCCGATGCCTCGCGTTGCCTTTCTCTCAAAAAATCGAAATAAACATTACTCACCGTTCCTAACGCACGCTATGGAAATAGCCCCTTTGGAATGTCCGTTACTTGTTAACGGTCTTTTTGCGCACATCGTTTTCACGGAAGCGTATGGGAACATGTTTTTAAAAATACGGGAACTCGAACTTTTCTTTGTGAGTTACTACGTAGTATGTTCTTCTACGAAGTTCTTACCAGCGACGGTAGTAAGAGTACGTACGAAACTGTAGGTACTACTCATAGTACAGTACTAATAGTAGTGTGGTACAGAACAAAATACATGAAGAACAATAGGTCATGGCAACCATTCAAATGGAAATGGTTTCTSGGCTGAAACTCTCTGTCTAGCTCMATGGTGTGCAAAATAGTCAGAACCGAAAATAGTATTTCTATTAGAACTGCTATTAGTGCTGGTACTACTACTACTAGTGGTGGTGGCGATCGTTCTTGGTGGTGGTCTTCTTCTTCATCATCATCATCTTTCCCCCTGTACTTGTTGTCCCTAGTTCTTCTTGTTTTTGCTGCTGCTGCTGCTTGAGGAGTGGTATCAAACCCTGATTTGATCAAAAAGAGCAAAACATTGTGAAGTAATGTCTTCTTCATGATCTTGCAAATACTCTGCTGCCAACAACAGCAAGAAGCAGAGAACAACGATCTGGTGTAACAATCGGCCACAATGAGGAGCAGCAGCATACAGCACAAGGAACATTGATTGCAGTTTGGTCTGCTTGCATCATGTGCTGACACCCTAAATTTTCCTTGACTTGGGATTCCATATTCCAAGTTTTKTTTGMMTGTCGGCACACTASACCTACGGTGCATCAAAATTAGAGTCACAGCTTGAAAGACGTASGTAGTAAYAAGCTTTTTAGACTGAATATCACCGGGTCGAGACGAGTCGACCACGAAAGCCATTTGTATCAGGACCTTAAATGCAGAATCTCCATGCAACTGCGATGCAAAGCAACACTTTTAGAAAAATAGACGAATGCTGTCTCTTGTAAACAAATAATTATAATAAAATGTCGGACAGCGATCGGAGTTTTCCTTTACACAAAGAGAAATCATGTTCGCGTTGTGAAATCGACAACACGAAACTAGAGAACTAGACAAAAAATTGCACAGGGTCGAGTGGAGCTGGGTCGAATCAACCGCAAAAGCCAAAGTTTCGCAGCATCACGTCCATTCCAGAATCTCCGTAGGCCCGCTTCAGTTTCTTAATGTCCACCCACGGCATCATCTTCTTGTGGATTGGATTCCATTGCTTCTTCTCGCTTTCTGCCATGGTCTTTATGTGGCCGACGAATCCCTTCCAGTCGGTGTGGGCGTCGGGAACCCCGTCGAATCGATCRGGCCCAAACATCAAGAGAAAGAATTCCCGAAGCTCGTCCTTGGTCAGCGCACGCTCGTCCAACAAATCAAACAACTTGTGGCTGAATCCCATTTCACGTATCCTGTGCATTGGCAGGCCATAGTTGAGCCATTTGTTGTGCTCGTATACTTCCTCGGCTTCTCCGCTAAAGTCGTCGAGGACCTCCAGGCTGAGTTCGAGTTGCGAGTCAAGATCGTTGTAAAATTCGACAACACTTTCTTCGTCCGTGCAGAGCCGAACAACGATCCAAACCGGAAGCCCCTCCAGAGACCTCAGAGCGTTTGTAAATTCGTTCCGATCGCTTCGCGATGAATATCCTGTCGCGTCGCTGGGGAGCCCGTCTGTGGCGAGAACTATCACCACTTTCTGTCCGTTCTGAAAAAGATCGTCCTTCATTGCCACGACGTTTGATCTGATTTCTCGGATGTGTTCCGAGAGCGGCGTAACGCCAGAAGGYGAGACCTTCTTCATGGTGTCCAGAGCAATTGAGAGGTCTTCCATGATGAAGTCGGAGCCCCGTTCTCCTATGCTGAATTGCTGCGGGCCCGCCATCTTTCCCGGATCGTTCAGGAGCCGAAAGACCGTCGGGGCCTCCAGCAACGCGGCGAGTTGTGCGTGGTACTGTACTGTTTCCTGAATCTCCGTCCAGCGGGAGCAGCTCACGAACCGAACGTGGCTTTGGTTGGCCGAATCCACGAGCCGGTGGCCGTCTCCGGTGTTCATGGAACCGCTGTTGTCCACAACCCAGATTCGAAGGGGAAAGGTCATGTTGCTGCGGGCAATGGAGTTGATCATCCCCCCGGTGTATCCCTGATCTTTAAGGCATGAAATCTCGCTTTGGTTGAGGATTTTGCTGCTCGGCGCAGGCATCAGCACCCTTTTGCTCCGCCCCTGTTTCAAAAGTGTTCCCGTCGGGCGGGCCGAGGGCGCTGCCGTTGCGGAATCTACCGGAACCGCAGCCGCCGCAAGAGGAACTGCGGTAGCTGCAACCATCGGTGGAGCGTAATCGTCGTCTCTTCCCATGTCTTTTTTTTTCTTTAGTTTGAGTTTGCTGTAGTGTTGTACACGTGCGTGTAGTGTAGTTGTTATGATCTTGTTATGATCTTGTTTTGATCTTGTTTTATGATATGTTCGTATTGTTAAGATTGGTTGCAAAACACGAATGAAAAATCTTCTGTACCGTACTCCTACCGTGCTGTCTATTATCATTCGATATCTCCTACTGTACGGTACATACGGTACGGGTGGTACCGTGCTTACAACGTAAGTACCTGGTACCTTGTTTGAGATTTGAGATTGATTCCGAACTTGCAGCAAGAACGCGAACGAGAACTCTTACTCACTACGTCTACGTAACCTACTGACAACATAATCTGGATACAGTATCAGTCGTCTTATCTATCTGCTACTGTACTTACCAGTAAGCAGAKGTCTAAGTTATTATGACCCTGGGCTTTATTTAAATAATTCGATTCTCGTTCTCGTAGCGATATAATTAGGTATGAATCTGAAGAAAAAGAATAAGTGAAAAATTCAAAATACTGTACGGTGAAGAACGATAAGTAAATAAGTACAGTAGTAATTTGCATTTCCTTTATCTCGTGATTTCGACAAAAAAGAAGAGTATCGACATACAGATATTTTTTTACTTCAACGCAAGTAAAAAAATGTCCCGTTGTTTGGTTTGCTCCCAAAAATAAACCTAAGCAGAACCGACGGGCTCGGGAAAGTTTCTGTTGCAATTTTTGAAAAATGTCATCTGGAACCGTAGTATGTAGTATCGTACTTGATTGGACCACCGYACGTACGTACCTCCTCATAAGGTACAGTACCGTACAGACTTCTAGAGGTACCGGTACGAAGCGAACGAATTCGTACGATGCGAAGAGCATGGTACGTACCCATACGTCCGTAAAGCGGCGTACGTAAAGTACGAGTACGGGTACACAACGATAGAGGTGCAGACCTCAATGATGATGAGAGGAGTCCATCTCTCGTCAAGTGCTTCCTCTCAAAAAAGGAACTCTGTGGTGAAGCTCCGTTGCACATCTCATCAACCTGAGTTATTGTGCATCAGGTCATCCTACTGCCGAATCCATTGCATACTAACCCTAAAAAGAAGATCCTAAAAACGATTGTTTCACTCGATCCWTTTGATTTAATTCCAGGTTAGCAAGACTTCTCGTTTTTTAACATGGTGTTCGGTGCTGACCCGGAGCCAAACTCGGATTCTTTTCTGACGGATGAATTGCTGCAAGAGGAAGTGGAATATGGACGGTTTCAGCAGCGATCCTCTCGCGGTCGCGGTATTCTTGGCCTCGGACCTGATCAAGACGATGGAACGCAYGGCAACAACGATCCGTTGCCTCRATCTCGTCAGAGCCCCCGTAGAAGCAAACACAAACAGCAGCGGTCGCAATACCAAGAGGATGGCTTGCCGCGAAATCACCACAAAAAAGGAGACCAATTTTACGAAGAAGAGGTTGGGCCRGACGACGAGGAAGATTATCGTGAACGTGCGCATTGCGATACTCCTTTGAGGGCACAGCACGATCAATATCAATATCACTACAATCCCCACCTACCGCAGGACGGCASCAGCAACAACGAAAATATTAATGTAATCAGCAGAAGCGATGACTACTACTTTGATTCAAATGAGGATTTTTCTGTTCAGGAAACAACAAAGAATCTAGTCATAGGAGAGGAAATGCTTGGCCAAAAACTATGTTGGAGATCAAATCCTTCCCAAAGCTTGAGCGACTGGAAACTCAACGTGTTCAATCGATCGACGAAAACCTTTGAAACCTACCACGTTCATCGCGTGGTGCTAGCGCTCGGCCCTCGTCGGTGCGAGTATTTCCAGGATGTCTTTCGTCAGGCCGAGGCGGGAACAAGCGCTTCCTCYGCCAGCAAGATCACGAGGGTACCGTTGATTGCGGAATCTTGCAAACTGGTGGGATCCTTCCTCGATTACGTGTACGGTAACGACCAGTTCGAAATCACCAATGAAAACGCGCTTGGGATGTGTTACCTAGCAGACATATTTCTCAACCACAGCCTTTGGGACCTTGCCACGGATTTTATCGAGGGTGACTTGCAGACCGTTGCCGGAAGAGAGAATCTGGGCCAGTACTACACCGATTCTGTATACTATGACCAGGATGAATTCTTGGATCACATCCTGTCCGTGTGCTCTCTCCACCTACTGCCCATGYTGGAAGAGGGAATCTCTTGCACAAATCTGTTAGAGGAAATAACCCCCACCCACATGTTGCAGGTTCTAGGGGAGATCGAGCAAGGCGATCAACTGTCGAAGCCAACCACCTCCTTGTATCTTACCCGCCTA